ACACACACACACACACACACACACACACACACACACACACATACACATACACACATACACACACACATACACACACACACACAAATAAAAAAAATTGAGTCAAATTTCAAACAAGTTTCAGCTTAGCCCCTAAATTTCCACAGTAAGACCATTTGGAGAATATAATAAAAGTGTGTAGGTAGAATGAAGAAAATCTCAAGCAATCAAAAAATAATCCCGTTAAAAACAAATAAATAAAACAATAGGATTAATATGCTATGGATTAAAATGCGTTAAAAATCTTGTTTTGATTTATAAAATATTTATATTTGGGAATAACTTTTGCTGAGGTTTAACATTTGTCACATATCTTCACCAAACTGAAATTTAGATGGAGTCACACTCTTAAAAGGCATGCATTACATGCACTTCATAAATTGCCATCTACACTCCCGTAGGTGAACAAAAGCATATTTGTTTGTGAATATTTGCCACTTATGTTCTCAGTTAATGGTTTGTACACATAAATGCAGTAATGGGCTTGTCACAAAAGAAAGGCCCTAAAAACTTCAATGAGAATTTCTGTCTTGCTACACTTAAAAATATTTCTAGTTGATTCTTGTAGAAATAGTAAGAGTTAATATAATGGAAATTATTTAATTGGTTCAGATAAGAGACCTTCCTGAACTGGTTTTGGTATTTCATCTTCTAATGCTTCATAGAAGTCATCTGTTGTAGGAATTTCAAAAGCTTCTTCATATACTTCATCCTTCTCCTGCCGTTCATCATTTAGTCCTTCATCTGCACCTTCCTCATGCTCATCATTTAGTCCTTCATCTGCACCTTCCTCATGCCTCTCTCCTGATTAATAAGAAGTACAGAAGATGTAAACACCATACCCAGCACCCGCTGAATTAAATTTCCAACAAATAATCCACATTCAAATTTATCTCTAGTAGTTCTTAGACATTCCCCAAAATAAGTAGGGTCTTAACCATTATCAGAATGAACTTCTAAAATGCCTGTACATTGATCCAGTGGAACAACGGCTAGGAGAGAAAACCACAGTGACAGATGACATCATCCCTGTCCTCTCTTGATATGTCAAGATGTAACATTTTGAAACATTATTTGTAGACTGGTCAATGGGAGCTACAGGTACTCAGAACCTCTGAAAATCAAGCCAGTTATCAGGGTTTGCTCCCTAGACCACCTAGGTGTCAACAACTTGTTGGCTATCCCCTCACATACAGTTGAAAGGAAATCCAGCGCACCATCATCAAGAATCAATCTCAAATTTGTCTAGTCTGTTGTGCTATTTATAAATTATCCAGTGACTGCAAAGTCTGAATTCATACCGGCTTGTGAATGGAGTGCTTCATGAAGAATGGCCTGGATTTCTTCTTCCAGTTCTGCTTCAACATTCTTGTGCTCTAAATGGGTTATAAAATATGTCAAAAATAGGTGCAAAGGATAACAAAGTTTGCACTTTGCAACTGTTGCAATTAGTTTGTAGAAAAAGATGGACATATTCAGTAAAGCAACTCCTTGACCTCATTAGATCACTGTAGAGTTTTCTATCACCTCTGTAATTAATTGGATTGGAGGCAGGGGATCAGGTAAAATAGGTTGCATTTTTTAAACAGTAAAAATGAACCCCTTTGCCAGACGTCTAGCAATTTCACTGAAGATGAACTGAAAGCATTTCCCTTATGCTTTTTAGTATGTCAAGAACATCAACTTTTCTGTACAACTTTTTTAAGTGACAGTATCACTAGTGATTTCTGATAGTTGCATTCCAGCTGCCATATAGTAATCACCAAGAACTCTCTGATGTTAACCTATACAAAAATAATTACTGCAACATACACAAGAAAAAAAAATTAAAACACAACCCACAACTTTTAAAAATAAAAATGGCAGGCAATGAAAAAAATTGAACTGCTTCAAGTAGCAGTAAAACTCTGTATCTTACCTGATCCACTATTACTTTTTATGGTTCTAAAACCCACCACGTTATTTTAATCCCTTAAATAAAACACTCTGACCTTACGGGCAATGTCATGTGTGTGTCATACTGTAGGGACAGCAAAATACTATCCAAGTCAGTGGGGTTTTTGTTTTGTTAAAATAACGGGCAAATGGTGTCAATTTTTCCACTGGTAAGACTTCCCAAGCAGTTCATGCCACATTACACACACTGTCCCACTTCTGACCCATTTATTTATGGTAAAACCTTTGGCTCATGCTCCACCACACACCTGTTTTAAAAAATTCCTTCAGGTGATTGGTTCTCTTTCCAGCAATTATATAGCTCCATAAATAAGATGTGAACACAGAATATTTTCCAAAGCAGTACTACAGGAGTTAAAAGACAAGCCTGCTGAAAGGAAGTGTATGTATGTATGCATGCATGTGCCTTCAGGACATTGTTTTGTAAGTCTTCACTTTATTTCACCTCTCAGATTTATGGGGTTCTAATTTAAGACACTACCCACACAAAAAAAGAAGAGGTGATAAACAGCAATTCATACTGTATTATCAGATTGAGCTTTCAAAAGTGTCTTGATGAGAAAAAATATGCCATGTCCATATTATTATATTTATTGCTTCCTTTATCATCTCTTTCATGTGATAGAGACAGAAACGGATTACTACAGTTAGGAACGTGCAACTGCTCATTTGTGTACACTTAACTCAATTACAAATACTTAATGTGCACAGGCTAAACCAGAAATTCACAGAAGCATGTGGCCAGTTAGGTGCTCAACTACCCAGTGAATACAAAAATACCCAATGTTAATGAAGACATCAAGCTCTTAATACCTATGTTGAGTCTGCAATGGTTTATATACACAATAACATCTTTGAATATTTGGCCCACACTGTTACTAAAGATACCATTTCTTCTTACAATATGCACATGCTGGAAGGAAGGTTGAGTGTTTGACAGTCACCAGATTTACTCCTGGGGGAATTGTGCACCACTGCGCATGCGCAGAATTTATGTCCCCATCAGATTTCTTTGCTTCTCTGCAGAAAAATGATTTTCTAACAGGGTACAAAGGGAAGTCATAAGAGCAGTCATGAGACCCTCCCCAGCAGTATTTCAGGTGCCCAGCGCAGCTGGCAAAGAGGTAAATCACCACGGGGTAGGGGGCAGGACTGGGGAAGAACTGGCTGGTGGCTCCTACCCTGCACCGGGCTCAGCTCCTAGTCCCAGCTGGGCTGGGGAGAATGGGACTTCCTCTTCCCCTACACAGTATCCCTGGCCATGTGAGACCCACCCCCAGATTTCTCCCCGGCTGTAGGAAGCTCTGCAAACTCTCTCCCTCTCCCCCGCCCTTCCTGCACCAATTGCTCCTCACCTGCAGGAGGCAGGGTCCCTGTACAGGGAGCTGCTCCCCCATCCGCCCAACCCCCATGCATCCAGACCCCCCTCATACCGAGATCCTCCCGCCGAACCTCACCCAGACACCCCACCCACAAAGTCCCACTCCCCCTACACCTGGATCCCCCCCCCACTAAGCCCCTCCATACTTGACACAGAGGGACAGTGCCCTGGGTTGTTTTGGGGGCAGGGCCCTGTCCTTGCGCTGTGTCAGGGTTGGGTGCAGCCTCATCGCTGGATCTGTGTCCCAATGGCGGTGGGGGAGTTCCACAGTGATCTCCCACCTCCGTGCAGCCAGTGGCCTGTGCTCCCCAAAGTCATGCTGGAGCCTTCATTTACTTGACAAATAAAATTTGCAGAATTTTAAAATAGTGTGTGTGTGGAATTTTTAATTTTTTGGCACATAATTTTTAAAATTTTGGTGCAGAATGCCCTAAGGAGTAATCATTGTAAGTTCCACAAAGATGGGACCTGGGTTTTCAATATGAAATTTTTGAACACTTATTTTTCTATCAATTGAAGAAAAATTTAATTTCCTTTTATGAAGTGTGTGTGTGTGTGTGTGTGTGTGTGTGTGTGTGTGTGTATATACACGTACACACCCACAATATATGAGATATGGAAGGAAATACCAGTTTATTAATCCTTATATGATTTTTTTTTTCTGAATTTGAAATTTAAAGATAAAGGTAAACAAAATGGCAACTAATAACTCTTTGTAAAAATCAGTGACCCTTAAATGCCTTCTGGTTCTTCAGTTTTATACACACTGAACATATACTATACAAGTTCATGTCAGCGTCAGCTACTTGAGCGTCTCAACAAATTAAAATATTACTTGTAAAATGGACTAAGTTTTCAGAAAGGAATTCTTTTAGTCCTTGCCCAGAGCCTAGTCCACAGTGGCTCAAACTGAAGAATTTGTCTGAGCCAAGAAAAATGGAATGGGTGTAATCTTTAATGCTTAAGGTAGGGAAAGTACTATTTATAAAAAAAGTATTACCAATAATAGATTTAATTTTTTTTTTATTTCTGATGTCCATAACAAAGGTGGTTTTTTTTTTTAAACTTATTAAACGACAGAACTCCTTTTCAAAACGGTTTCCATAAAACTCTATTTTCAATATTAATTTAAAATAGTAAGACTATTATATATGCAGTTCAAATAGTGACTATTCTTTTTCTAATCCTTTATTTAGCAGCAAAAAAATGAAGTGCATATATGGAGGGAATTGTCAGATAAATTTAAGATTATATAATTAGATACTCTTCTGAAATTCTAAATTCAAGTAAGTGACAACAATGGATTTACAGACACTGGGAGAATAAGTGCTTAAAAGAATATACCAAGCTGTACTCAATTCAATTTAGATAAATAATTTTAATATGATTTTTAGATTAAGTAAATTATAAACACTGAAGAGAAATTTTAACGTTTCCAAAAACCAAGGGATTTAGAAAAAGCACCAAATGTTTGTTTCCATAGGGTGCTTCTTCTGACAAGATTATAGACATAGGATAGAAATTATTTAATACAAAATTGTATGAATAATTTATACTATTAATATTATATATAATCAATTAATAGTAATATTTATATTTATTATTACACCAAGTAGGTACATACATGTATGCAGAAGGGATCACTCAAAGTAGTTAACTTGTGTAATAATACTTTTGGCACTTATGCAGTTCACACATTCAGGTCACTTAAAATCAGTGGGGAAATCGAAAATAAACAACTCAGCTTTTAAATGAATTGTATAGCAAAATTAAATGCTGTAGGAAAACCACCAACGTTTGTATATTCAGATGAAGTGCAACTGTGATAGAATTATTTTTCTTGTGCTTTTTTAGCACAGACTCTAATTTCCAGTTTATTAACAATATGCCCTACATTCATATCTCATTCTGTATAGTCTTATGCACATATTCAATAGGATGTGCTTTCTCAAGAGACAGAAAAAAGAAGATGCAGAAAATAGGTTTTTAGAGTCCAATCCATGCACTGTGGCTGGCAGTAAGTAATATTTGCTGGCAAGCACATGTAAAATTGGGTATTTAATTTATTTCCTTGAATTCTGCATAGGACTGGTGGGTTTTAATCTTTTTGATGTTTTAAGCAAGAAATCTGTTCCTGAAGGTAGATTCTGAACATAAGTAAAAGTACTTGAGTACTGTAGTACATAAGGACTGAATACTTAAAATATGTAGCATTGATTAAACTTTGCCTAGTATTGAGCTTAAAATATTGCAAAAACACAAAAAGGATTTAAATAACAAAAAAAGACCATCTTTTTGTTATGTGTGTGTAAAGTGTAAAACATCGTGTGGTCCTGAGCCTAGTTTGGTGGCCTCTTGGTATTACCACAATACAAATAAATAATAGCAGCAATAACATTATTAATATCTATATAAATAGGCAAAAATAATGGGTTTACAATTGTTTCCACACTTATGTTCTAGCAGTTGAGCCAAATATGAACTCCCAGTATAAACTATTATATATGTAATAATTTAAAAAAAAAATGCTGATCTAATTAAAAAAAAAGCAAGTTTTATGCCTGTATCTTTCAAGTCACAAACTTAAATTGTATATTTTGTCCTCTAACCAGGAGAGCAATAAAATCATGAGACAGCATTCATGTACATTTTTATGTACTGTACTATGTAGTGTACTACCTTCATTTAACACTTGGTGGAGCAACCTAATTAAACTTCGCAGACTACTCAAACTGGCAAATCTGCTCCCATTTTTGATTAAGTACTCTACTACATCTATATGCATACCAGCATTTGTATTCTTACAGAAAAATATGCTGGAACAATACTATACAAATTGTAGTCAAGAATGTTTACAGTCGCTCTTTCTATTGTATGAGCGAACCAGTTAAGAATTTTAATGTTTATTAATTTTATAACAGTTACTTATAGTGAATCCTGAATATTATGGAATAAATTACTACAGTAAACTGACAACTATTAAGAAGTTAAATGGCAAATATTGGCAACAGAAAGAAGGGATTTTTTTTACCTGTGATGAGAGGTCATGCAATTTCACATCCACGCAGACAAAAGTACCATAAGTGAAATGTTTCTTGCCTTTTGTCGTCATGTACAGTTTGTGAGAGACCTTACCTGATGTAACGAATGACTGCTCTGCAGCTTGAATGGACTCTTCGGATTCTGCTGGTGTTGGCTGTGCTGGGACAGATCTTTCTTTAAGTCCTGCATTTTTCAGTTATAAAGTTAACTTTAGGCTTTGTCTTGTCTTGATCTAATTATATATCAGCATGAGAATCTTGATAATCAGCATGAGATTCAATTATATTATCAGTAAAACAAATGGACAGTATAAGCACATGAGGATTTACGCAAGCAATGTACTGTTCTACGTTGTCCTTAACAGTACATTCTCTGCAAAGACTAAAGCATGTTGGGAGGGTTATTTGAAGAATACATTACCCATTTTTCTAATTTCATGTTAAAGATGCCCAAACTTCTTTCTTTGGTATAAGTTTATTGAACAAAATCCACACAGATTTAAACACATCACAATACTGTTCATAGGTTTTGTTTAGTAAGAAAAAATAATGTATGCTGATAAAAAACAGACATTTCTTTTCACTTCAACTATTTCCAAATTTTAAAAATGGTACTTATGTGATTTTTTTTAAGTTGTCTTATCTTGAGTTCTTCTAAAAAGTTTTCATAACGCATAGCTCACAATAAAACTATTGACTAGGCTCGCAAATATAGCTCAATAGATCGTAAAGAAGGCTACAAGCCTAACTGTGCCTTCAGATTCAGCAATCTACCCTTTAGTTCTCTTCAGTCCATAAATCAGGTTCATGAATGTTGTAGCAAAACTATGATTCACGGAGTTCTGGTACACAGGTTTCCCCAATATAGTAAGACTTGATGTACAACTAAATAAGTGCCTCTGGATCTGACTATGATGGAAAACAAGGGAGCTGCACATATACAGTGATCAGTGCTGGAGTAAGAGGGTCACAGAATTTCCAGGGGGGAAGATCACCTAGTCCCATCTTTCATGTGTCCCGTGCAGAATTGTTACCTAACGCACATTTTCCACTTACTTATGAAGTCTAGTTTTGGAAAATAACAAGTGACAGTTTTGAGCCACTCACATTGAGATATTGAGATCTTAGGGTGTAGAACATTTTCAAGAATATCCTGATAATCAGGATAAATTTTCCTCTTCTATAAGAGTGAATACAAGCCAGAGTTCTTACTCAATAACCATACTACAAGGTCTACAAGCTTCCTGTGTTGTTCTCATTGAAACATCAGATTGTATTGTCTGTCTCATTAATAGAAACATTCATTCCTAAAATGTCAAACTCATAACATTTAAAATTGATTATACATCAGATTTGTTTTATGATTAACAAAATCCAACATTAGTCACTGAATAGTGTTCATTAGGGCTCAAACAGGTCTATTTTTTGAGGCCTGAACAATGGAGGGGGCAGTGAGAACTTTAGTTCCCTCAACTCTATTTTAGGTGTTTTTAGCCAGGATTGTGTTATATAGGTGTTTTGTTTTTTTTTTAATTAATTAATTCTCACCAGAACTTGGTCATTTCTCTATCATTTAGGCTAACTATAAGTATTTCAACAGCTCTGTAGGATCTTCTTTCTAATAGTTACAAACACAGCTGAAACATGTCCGTACTTAAAATATTTGAAGCCTGATTGAAAAAAACAAAAACCTGCAGTTCACCACTTTGCATACTAACTCCTCCTCATTTATTTAAAAAAACCTAGCAATTTAGACTTCTTGCTGCACATGCCAAAACAAACTCTCAGTTTCAGATCTCTCACAATATCAACTGAGTTTACAAACTGGGTAGATCAACAGAGCACAAAGTGCATGATAAAATATGCATCCGTGTCTTGGTTTTGTTGTTTCAAGGTCTCCATTTGTCTTTAAGTATAAACTGGCAGAGCAACAGATGTGCTGTAATTATGTGATGGCAAGTCAGGAAGCAAACAAGTTGCTCCAAAGTGAACTACACCGTACCCCTTTAAAATTGACTTTAAGCCACCACTTCAGTTCCATCAGCTTTTTACTATTATTCTGTTTAGAGAATTTTTTTCTGAAAGCTAAATCTGCATTATATACACCTTAATTTCACAACCATTTCTGGGCTATTCTGAACCATTTTTATTTATGTAAACAAGTACTTTTATATTACTTAACGGGATATTTGAAATTACTGTGGTACAAGGATTGTTTAACTCATATCTTTTATACTAATAAAGATCAAGGGTTTTTAAATTAAATTACAAGGAACAGCATGAGCAGACTGTAGCAGATCAGCAAATCCAGAGTTAAAAGATTAATATTGCATATTTGACTTTTTTACTATACTCATGAAAACCAAGCCAATTAAAAAAAACATAACATGGTTTGGGTCACTCTAGTGCAACATACTTATGCAAGACAAAGTGACAAATGTCCTCAGAATATGCACAGAGGACCAACATCTTTCAAAAAGAAGGTACACTATGATGAACAATCTTCTGTTGCGATGTTCCTTTTAAGTATAATTTCCTTGATTGAAACAGTACACACATTTTATTTTCAGGCTCTTAAACATGCCTTTATACAGTAACAACTCTATTGGATTTAGATGTTTGATTTTAATGAAAGGTGTTTATAGAGACAATCCCATGTATTAGGTTACAGAGTGACTGACCTTTCACACACCAAGCATGTGTATGTTTATCCCATTTAAAACTGTATACATATTGGAATTCACATGAAAACGTGAATTAACAATTACAAAGAAACATGATGGTCTGAACTACATTAGAAATTTTCATGAAGCTGCTTTAAAACAGCATTTTAAGTAAGGTTCCAATGCTGCAAAGTCTTACACACATGCTTAACTTTATGCATGGGAATAGTCCCAATGAAATCAATGGGACTTCACATGTATAATCTTTGTAAGATTGGGACATAAGAGGACTGTTGGGTTTTGTGTGTGGCTTTTGGGGGGGGGGGGGCACGGGAACATATGAGGGAGAGTTAATTCTGCCTTTTTTCCTCAATACCACTCCATGCATGCAACTTAAAAATGCAATTTGAAATAATTTATATTGTTAACTGCAATATGGCAGTTCAGAGCTTGGAACAGATAGAGGCATTATAGAAAGTATGACACTCAAATCTCCACCTCCTCTCCCCCCTCCCCCCCAATGTACTTTTCTCTGTTACCAGATATAAGAAAAATGTTGATGTACACACCCTCAATCCAGACACTGGAGGGACCCTAGATGTAATCTGCCAATAGAAGTACTTCCAGTACCTACTTACAAGAAAAGTGTTTCTCTATCAAATATTTATCTTCATTTCCAACAGATTACAATGGAATAAGAGATAAGAGTATTAATATTGTTACTGAAACTTAAACTTAAGAGAAGTCTGGGCTTGTTATGCAAGAATAGATATCAAGTCCCATTTCCAAAGGAGATTTAGAATATTTTTCTAGAGCTGTTCTGAGAGATTTCTATATTCACTCCCACATTTTTGCTAATCATCTCTAAAATGTACCCTGATCAGCACGCAGGTGTGTATATATACACACTTTATATTTTCCCAGTATTTAGAAACTAATTCAGTATGTCATTCCTCCTAATTAGGACAACTTGTGTCACATTGTACTGTAGTATTTGCCATTGTTTTTGTTTTCAAAAACATTGTTTCCTTCACAGCATTATATAAAAGTATACTACTGCACCTGTCACCCATAGGTCTTAAAGCACCTTACAAATACTAAGCCTCAATACAACTAAGCATGCATATATGTACTGGATCAACTGAGAGACAGAAGTGAAGTAGTTTATAGAAGGTCACAGAACAGTTTATGGTAGAACCAGAACTGCGGAGTCAAATTCCAGAACCTTGCTAGGACCACCAGCCACTACAGTCAGTGACCCTCAAGTATCATTTTCAGATTTTGTTCTAGTCTCTTGTAATTTTATTTGCAATGATTCAGCATATAATCAATTCTATTGTTTGTCCAATAAAAATCAGGATTTGTACATAAAGTATTTCTTATATACCAACTAGAAATTAAGTACAGATTTTGTAACATACTGAAATACACTATTTCTGAAGAAATTTTGTAACATCCTATTTACCCCAATTAATAAGACTCTTGGATACTTCTCAATCTTCATTGCTGAAAATAAAACAAAGGAATACCAATCCAAAAAAAAATGAGCTAATGTATAGAAGTAGAACATTTAGAACTATTGTAGGAATAAGCTATTCTATGAGTGGCCGCAATACACAAATCTGTTCTCTAGTCCAGTCCAGCCAAAATACAAATAATGGTACAATGTCAGCTTCCTGAAATTTGATCAGCAAGCAACCACTCCCATTTAGACATCTCAGTAAGTGGCTAGATTTTCAAAAGCGTAAGCGCCCAGAAGCTTCCATTGAGAAGGGAGCTGCTGGCTTCTGAGCAAATTTGCCCCCAATTTTGGGTGCTGAATACTTTTGAAAATCTCACCCATAGTGAACTAACAAAGGTTTCAGACAAAAGATGAAGCCAACACAGCAGTAATTTAGCATAGTAATAGCAATACAAAAACTGTCACAGGACCACTGAAAAACATTACAGCACTCAATAAAAGCATCAGACTCTAACAAATGTGTTTCATTGACACTATTTCTAGTTTGCATGCCTTCTAATGAAATGAGAATTAGTTTCTTACAATAGGAATTTTCACCACTTAGGTAATGTCCAGATTATCATCCAATAATACATTAATAAACTTCTACATATGATTCACAATGTTTTTACACTCTTCACATATCTACAAGAAAAATGTAACACCTTAATAGAAAGCAAGAGACATGTATTTAAGGGTTTGATATTGTATGTAAAAAAAAAAAAAAAAAAAGTCAGATTTCAAAGCTATACCAACAATTTTTAATGTACAGGACTTGTGATCAAATACATTATGTACACATTTGAGCTCCACAGCAGATATTTGTTGTGTGTTTACAACGCAAGTACACACATAAGCAGTCTGCATAATCGTCACTCACACTAATGACTTTCAGAAAAATTGTTACTAATACACTAAATTATGTTACCAATACATTAAGTTTTTCTCACCATCAAATCCCTATTTCTGTTTTTTCTTCTCATCTTCCTTTGCTGAATTTTCAGAAACTCTGGAAGGGATTTTAGCTCTCTTTTTAGTTACTGTGTCTTTCTCTGCTTGAGAAGGGGTAACCTCCTTTTCAGTGGCTGATTTCTTCATAGTCTCCTTGTGTTTCACATTTTTGTCTATTCCTGATTTTCCATTTTCCTTGCCTTTGTCTTTTTTAACCTTGTCAGAATCTTCCCTCAATTTAGCCACCTCAACAACTTTCTTAACCTTTCGGTCAGCAACTTTTCCTTCCATGGATTTTTTTTTCTCTTCTTCAACTTTGTTTTCCTTCTTCCTGGATGCTTCTCTCTCTCTTATTTTCTTGAGTGGTTCTTTAATTGCTTCTTTTACTTTTCATATTTTCATTTAAAAAATGGAAAACGTTAATTAACAGCACCATTTTTAGATCATGGAACACAATTTTGTGCAAGGTATCTGCATAATTTAATGCCAATTGCAGCTCCAAACCCGAATAATCTAAGATGACCACCCATATTATCATCTTCCCCCCCCCCCCAAAATCTAATGCTGGCATAGCTAGCAGCCTATTTTTTATTCTAATTAACCCATAACAAAATTCATGAAATATTTATGCAGAAAGATCTCTTGATGCCTAAATACTTGTTAATTAGGATGGCAATTTAAGCTATTAATACATTTATAAAACTACACAAATCAGATCTGAGTTTCGTACTGAAGTCTTAAATCATGCAGCAGATGCAGAAAATAAGCATCTTATATTAAACTGCTGTATTTTCAATTTCATACTCTAATAAAACTACTTTTCTATAACTAATACTGTTAATTTACTTTTACAGAACACATGCTTTTCAATGACTTTGTCTAACACCTCTTTGATCCTGGTACTTTGAATCTTATAAGATAAAGCAAGAATACCTTCTTTAAAACAAGATCTACTTGTGAATTTTTCAACCTCATAGATCAGCGAGGAAATTTACAGTAACTAATATCTATAGCATAACACTTCAGGGACACTGTCACCTTAGTTAGGCCAAAGATTACAAAAAAAATTAATATGACTAGGAAAAAGGTTGAGCACCCAACAGCGCTGTTAGTGAATTAAAACCAGAATTGGGAGTACTAGAAACTGATAGTAAAAAAAATTAAAAGCAAACTGATCAGTCTAGTTTCATTGTACAAAGAAATACAAATTAAAAGCATCAGAGGTAAATCTGATTTTAAAATCTTGGCATTTTAATCAATAGCATTAATATACATACATTTTATTATGATTTTTATCTTGACATTGTCCCTTTCATACTTAATTTTTTCTTATTTATTTAAAATTACAGTAGCTTACGACTGTGATGCAACATCCAGATAACATGCAAACAAAGCAGATCAACACAGCCTTCTCAACTACTGAAAGTACACTTTAAAAAAAAAAAAAAAAAAAAAAGATGATGATCAGTTACAGTAGTATTCCCCATTTTAAATATAAAGGTATTGGAAATTGGTAGAAATTTTCAAAAGGTGAGGGAATGTTTACACTAATGTTTGTCCTCACTTATCATCAGGATTTAATATTTAATTTCCTTAACAATATGAAGAAAAGGTGATTCGGCAAAATAAAGTTACTTTGATGCTATTTTCATACTTTGTGTGTTTGTGGGGGGGAAATCTATGTCAAAATAACTTTCCACTTTATACTTAAACCTAAAAACTAGAAAAATATTTTGCTTACTATGATGGGGTTAGCATAGAAAAAAAGATTCATTTACTTTCAGCCCTATTCACACTTACAAATAAAAGAAATTAGCCTGGTCCTCTTTCCTATGAAAAGCAGTAGTAATTTTTTACCTATGTAATTTAACAGAAGCAGATTTTCAATCCTTACTCAGGAAAGTCTTCCCTTGAAGCCTACTGGAGGTTTTGCCAGAGTAAATAATAATGAAAGCTGTAATGTAGTGTATTACTAACTGATTACCTGTACCTTCTCATTACATTTTCTGCATATGAAAAGAATATACTCTTTCCATTCATAAAATTTATAATTCAGCCACCATATATCCTCCCAACAGGTTCTCTACATGATGTGCAAGGACTGGAGGCATTTCATAACATTCCTTCGCTACAATATCATACAATTCTTCAGTAAGAACCCAAACACAACAAGTATCTAAATGGCTCATTTATTAATATTTTGGGAAACATACATTTTCAAAACAAGTTATTCCAAACACAACGCAAAACAAAAGCTATAAATTTCAGCTGGCATGCAAAGGTAAGGAAAAATAGTATTCATATGTGCATGAGAACTTTCCCCAGTAGATAATTTTTTTCTAACCATCTTTTCACTGTAAATTAACAAAAAAATAATTTGGTACTCTAGCCTTAGAGGGGAAAAAATGATAACCAATGATGGTGTAAAGTTTGTTACATTCAACAAGCAGGCTGCCCAGTACAGAGTAGTAGATGCAACAGATTATTCCCAGCGAATGTTTCCTCAAATAAAACTAGAATTGCAAACAACCCTAGAAATAACATCCAATTATAATGGGAACAACCACTAAACTCTACCTTAATTTCTAAACCACACTTAAGAATTACTGGATGAAATTCTATGGCTTATGTTAGGTAAATTCCAGACTATATGATCCTAATGGTCCCTCTTCTGCCTGAAGATCAATAAATCCCTTAAATATCTGAAAACAGTAAAGATGTCACTGAAGAGGATTAAGGAACAAAGCAAAATCGGGGTATATATTCAAAATGTATCTCCACACACACCATATGAAATAACAGAGTTGCAAGACAATCAGCGAAATCATGCAAAAAACTTGCACAAAGTGTTTTTAAATAGATTTACATTTAATTATATCCTGTATTAGGAAAGCACTCAAATTAGCTGCAGATGGATAACAGGAATTTGAAATTCTGACTGAGAATTTGCAGGGTATTTGTTTGCTGCATCTCCAACTAAAAAGACAATCACCACATCTAGCATTAGTAGCCAGAGTTCAATTACCTGGTTTGCAAATCTCATGCATTTCAGGCATTAGAAATTATTTGCACAAAACTCACTGACAAAAGACGAATCAAAGTACCTTTGGCCTTAGCTTTTCTCTTGTCTACCCCTCCTGGCTCCTCTCCTGATGTTTGTAAGACGGAAACAGGTTATAAACATATTTTCTGATATTCAATACATTAAGCAAATAACATACATAATTTACCAATCTAGAGCAACAAAATTTCATTGGCTCTTTATGGTAGTTAGAGTTCAGATTTCTTCCAAATGCCAACCATTTCTAAATATATTTTGAATTATATATTTGTTAAAATAAGAGCTCTTTATTGTACTTCCATTTGTTGGAGACAGCATGGATTGCAGGACTGGGCTCAAATTAGGGTCAGATGTTCATGGAACAGTTAAATGATTCCCACAAATACCAACCATAAGCAGACCCCTGCACCCATCACACAGCCAGCAACAAAAGGATAATAGACCATTACCACCATGGTGATGGCAGCCTTCCCTACCAATGAGAAAACTTACTTCAGTAGATGTGTAATCTGCTACTGCATAGCCAGCCAGTGAGATGAAGACCAAGTACGGTATGTGTCTGGAGCTATAGGTACTTTAATTGAAACAACTTTCAAACTACTAAATGTATCCACCAATTGATTATATTAACACTTTTGGCCTCTACAGTTAAGTTGTGTAATTTGTGCTTAAAACTGACAAAAAATGGCTTTATTACACTGAAAAAAAGACTTTTTGAACTGCTAGCCCTACACACTTGATCTGAGATCTGAAAGCCAAACTGCGTTCTCTCCTCATGCTTTAACATCAGTGATAAAATAGTTAAGGCCTAACTTGGCTGGCAAAATTACACTTGTGTAACTTTACTGCCTCCAGTGAATAAACTTACAAGATCTAAATAAATCACTCAGTTGAAGCAAAAGGAGGAGTACTATTGAGCCAATGGAGATAGCAGAATTAATAAAACTTATTTAGCAAACTTATGAACCAAGTAAATATGAAAACACATCTTAAGCTGTTACAGTGTTTAATAATTTAAAATGGTAAAAAAAAATCTGGTTATTTCAAAAGCCTTTTGCATAAATAAGAAAGTGATTTAATTAGGGAAAAAAACGTACAGAACTTAAATTTTACCTTTCCCCAAAAAGATCTGTAATTTAAAACTTTATTTTAAATTGAAATGTGCATACTCCATAGGGAGAGAGCTCAACAAATACCCTGTTTGTGTTTTATGGATGTATCACTTGTTTATAGATACCCATAATTTGCTGCAGTCTAACTCTTCTTATGCAGACAAAGAACAGTCCTCAAGTTCTGAGCAAGTTATTAATGCAGCCCTCAGGTGTGCAAATTTTACATGCCCTTCTATTTAGCAAGCCAACTAATAGATAGTATCATTTCCAAATCAAACCATGTCTATTATCATTCTTGGTCACAGAATTCTACAGTAAAAATCTCTCTACACTTAAAACAAGAACACACTTTAAAATTACTACTATATTTTGATCTAATTTGAATGCTTTACAAACTTTTGGCATCAATATTAGTTTTGTTTTGTTAGAGAGAATTATTATGGTAAACTAATATGATTTCAACAAAACAAAACCCTTACCGCATATAAGCAGTTAATGCCTTACAAGGTGAATATTAACATATTATAGTTATACCTTTCTAGGAGAACAATGTAATAGCTGAAAGCAATTCTATACCACACTGCTACATACATACATATATACATACATAAACAGCTAGCCACAAGAAAGATTTCAACCAAATCCGTAACTTTTCCTGAAAAATTTATTTTGGCTGTACGTACCACATTTTTTAGAAGATACTAAAATATAGTTTACATAAATTTGAAGGCATATATTGTAAGTGTCAGTATTAGTACCATTTCAATCATATGTGATAAACATATGTGACAAAGTCAGGCCGGACAGCTGCAGAAGGGTCTGGGAAAACAGGTATGTTAGCCCTAGAATGCTAAAGGCCCTTTTTCCTACAAGCTGGGAAGGGGTTACTTCAGGTCAATTAAGGACACCTGAGTCCAATTAAGGGCTGCCTGAAACTTGTTAAAATCTCTCTCCTGGTGCAGGTGAAGACAAACTGCTTCAAGGCTGGTGGCAGCAGGGAGACAGGCTTCTCCATAGGGGAGACACCCAAATGCAGTGCCTGTTTAGGGGAAGGACTGAGACCCCGGGGCCAGTGACAGGACAACACCTGCCCCAGTGAGGGGCCAGGGAAAGGTATTCCCCTTTAGTTTCGGTGCGTTATAGACTTGTTTTCTTTTGTTTGGCCAAGGACCACTCCTCAGGCCTTCCCCAAGGCTTACCAGGAAGGCTCTGAGAAACAAACCCCAAAGAGGGAAGACAGACACACTCCATAGTGGGGCTGATTTACCCCAGACCCTATCCCTGCCGGAGGAGGGAGCACTAAGTCCAGCGAGGCAGAAGGGGTGGCTTGCCACACATACTATTTCCAAATTTTATGACAGATTTGGAGACTTCTGCAATTCTTTTCACAAGCTGCTTACTAAATTATGTAAAAACAAATATTACTATAAATATAGTATCTTTTCATAATTCCTAATGTTAATCAAGTTGGTATTACACAACTCTACTTAAGGGACACTAACTCTTAAAACATTACACACAAGATATTCTTACACTTGTATGACAAATTTTTTTAATACAAAAGAAAATGTAGAATGAATCACACAAATAAAGCACCTCAAGCATTTCATCCCTAGAGAAATACACAAGTACTATTAATTCAGAAAGAACAGCATTCAAAGACAAAGAATAGTTAGAGTATTTAATACAAAATGAAACTTCTAAAGGATATATCATTTTAAAGCTGTTCACACTTTATACTTTTGATGTACAAGACCTTCTTGGAAACTTCCAAGTTTCACTCTTTAAAAATAAATAAATTAAAAAACAATTTACTTCTATTTTATTTGACAAAATGTTCATTTTTTTCTAAACGTTTAAATTAACATGACTGAATACACTTTTGAAGTGCCTTTGAGTGTCAGTTTCATTAATTGAGGTCAACATACACCTCTACCCAGATATAACGCGACCCGATAGAACACGAATTCGGATATAACGCGGTAAAGCAGCGCTCCAGGGGGGGCGGGGCTGCGCACTCCGGCGGATCAAAGCAAGTTCGATATAACGCGGTTTCACCTATAATGCAGTAAGATTTTTTGGCTCCCAAGGACAGCGTTATACCGAGGTAGAGGTGTATATCTAGAGAACTGCTGATGCTATGCTGGTTTGGTTTGTTCAAAAATAAATAAATAAAATGGTAACTTTCTCTTTTTTTTAAAAAATGCACATGAAAATGCTCATAAAATGTCACCGATTTTTAAGCAGTATTCCCAGTTGATGGGGAATTCTGTTTGAATACTGACAGCATGATTTGGTCTTATACATACGGAGGACATTCCCCCATCAGTTTACAACTCTTAGGTGGATTTTATTTTAAGGTAAAACGTAAATATTTCTGAGCTAGTTTCTAACAAAAGAAGGTCCTGTTTTCCCAGGAGTCACAATGCTGAACTTAGTATTAATGATATTAAAGCTATAGTACAATTGTTTAATGAAATTTTAAAGAGTTAAATTACCTCAAATCCATTACTGACATTGACATTATTTGTTACTATACTTGTTCTACAAATGTAAAGCACATTTACTAGAACTGTAAGTAAACATCAAAGGCTACATTTTCATACTTAGAAATAACTTTTGTAGTTCACATTCAGTCTGAGCATATTTGTTGCCATACCCCAGAAAGTTCCATCAGGTACATCAGAGTAGCAGAAAGAAAAGAGTTTCATGTCAGTCCACCACCAAGCAGTTTCCCAAACTAGCTATCTTTAGCTTGCATACAAAAAGTTTATCTCTAGCAGAAGATTAACAAAGGAAGATATTTAAATTGTGGAACTAAGAACACAAAAGTAAGTTTCCAAACAAGAAGTTAATCTTTATATTATAAAATCAGGTGTTCAAGATCGGTGGATTTACATATCTATCTATCTATCTATCTATCTATACTCCATAAAAGAATCACAAGAGAAAACTAATTTATGCTTTTTTTGGTCTTGTCCATGTCACTTTTTACTTCTGCAACATACTATATTGGAATTTTATGGCCTTCTGCTCAACCAAAATAGTTTGCTTATAAAAGGCTATCACTTACCTTAAGTTGGATTCTATTTGCTACCAAGTTTTGTGTGTCCTTCAGGTAACCAGGCAAATCAGAGCTTGGAAAGATGTTCTTCCCACACTCCGAAATACAAGAGCTTTGCAGTTTACACAGCTAGCATAACAAAGGATTGCAGAAACTGCTGTCAAGTCATTCAGAGTAAGCTTCTCTCAAGACTCTTTTGCTTGCCTGATCACTTAACTATGAAAGGAAGAACTGAGTCATAGCCATAGTACATTTGAGCCGAAAGATGCTGACCTAAAATCTGTTAAACACTTCCCTCAATTGTATGGATCCCAAGAATATCTGGGACGGAATGTATGTTGTTAGAGGAGATTCATAACTCAGATTATCAGCTTTCTCTCTGAATAGAAAGAATTGGGCTTTAAAAAAATTGATTTTTTTTTTTGTGACGATAAAATCACAGATGTAGGAGTATTGCATCTTGTTTGCAAAGTAGAAACAAAGTCCAAGAAGTCTTTTGTCTTTGTTAGCCTCAGAGTGGAAGAACCATTCACAGGTGCAACACAACTATGAAAACTGATTGAAAAAACCCCTTGGTAGTGGTGCAGCAGCATGAAATTAATTAATTACTATAGAAAGCTACCTTGCTGGATGGCTATGGAGTTGGGAAACATCAGTGCAGACTGACTGAATGAACCACACTGACAGACTTTGACCTCAAAGTATTAAGCAAAAAATGTTTTTAAAAAATGGATTTGTTCTATCCTACCATTTTTACTAACAGGAGCTGCAATAAAAATCTTCCCTAACCATTCAACGCCTTCCCTTCCTTTCCTCCCCCCCCCCCCCCCCATAACCTAAATGAATAATTCATAAAATTTTAATTTCTTCTAAGGTAAGTCACTGGAGACTGACTAAAGATACAAAATTATGAAATGTTACCTTAGAATGAGCAGTCTTCTAACCAACTGCCCTTGAAAAAGTTTAAGAGTGAAAGTTTTAAATATACTTCTTTTAAAAAAAAAAAAGCTCCAAAATATATGCAATAGTAATCTCAAAAGATATATAAACATTTCTTGGGTTCATTTTATTAACTTTAATATAACTGATTCCAGTCATTCTAAACATTGTCCCTTAAAAAAGATTGCTTACACTTTCACATTAAATACTGTTGAAGATGTCACAGAAATCAGGGGTTCAGCCTTTAAATATATTATCAGCCATTACAATTTTTGTGGGTGGAACAGAACTATAACTTTCATGTAACTCATTTTTATTAGTATCACAGCAAAGCAAGCAAAAGCTTATGCACAAACATTAATGACTTCCCAGCATCCATTAGCTCAGCTCACTAAACAGTATTTTTAATAAAAAACTTAACGTCTGATCAGCTTAACAGCACTCCCCCTAACCATTGTGTAGAAAATAAAAATGATAAACACAGAATTACCGATTTTCTCTTCTAGAATAAAATGACAGTAGATTGCACAAGTTAGAAGAATCATATTTCATATTTACAATTAAGATTGTAAAGGGTTGTGAGTTCAATCCTTGAGGGGGCTGGGGCAAAAATCAGTACTTGGTCCAGCTAGTGAAGGCCGGGGGCTGGACTCAATGACCTTTCGGGGTCCCTTCCAGTTCTATGAAATATATCTATCTCCATATATTTTTTATTTTATTTTAACCCATTCAGCTAAGGGTCAGCATGCCTAGTTTTTGAAGTGTCACGTTATTTAGCCCAATGCTTTTCTGAGCTCTCTGGAAAACCTAACAATTTTACAAATGCAATGTGTCATATAATATCCTGTTTGTAGGTTGTGGACTTTAATTCTGATAACTGCTTGCATTTTGAAATTTTCCATCTATAGGACTTGGAGAGCATAAGGGAGCAGAACAGAGAAAGGCATCCAGAAATACTGTTCATAAAAATTCTGGAGAGGTGGAGAGAATCATTAACTGCAGCTTTTTTAAAGCAACAGGACACTTATTTGATGCAACTCCATACACTTTATTAAAAATAACCTTTTGAGAAAGTTGAAGACCATCATAAATGTATCCCAAGGGAAAATATTTAGTCATAAATCTTCACAGCAAAATTAATAATATGGTATAGGATGTAAGTTTAGTTCATGTCACATTAACAAGACCTCACAGAACAGTATTTTCTCATTTAGGACTACAAAATAAACTGAGAATTCTTCTTTTATGCTGTATATACACATTCCATTAAAATATGTATCATCACTTAACTTCAACTGTTATACGTAACCCTGCTCTCTTTTCTGAACATATTTTAGATCATATCAATGTATGTGGAAGTAAATGAAATTTTGCACATTTTACACATTTCTTTGGCTTTTGTAGAATATTTTAATATACCCAACGTATTTAAAAAGTGAATTAAGTCACAAAGGACAACCATATGTTCAGATTTTCCTGGCCAAAGCTTCTTTTTGGGTCTCTCTTCTCTATCCAAGGGGGATTATATAAACAATAGGAAATGTCCTACATTTTTGCAGAGCAGACAATCTGCAGCTCAGAAAGACCCCCCGATTGAGCCGCTTCCCAACTGATCCCTAACCTGCAGCTAACTGGTCTAGCAAGCCATGGGTGCTGGATCCCACCCACCCAGTTCCTGGCTCTCAGCCCTGGGCAAGAGGTTCCACAGGGAGGCACTGACTAATGGCTGTCGCTGCATCCTGAGCTTGGGCCAGACGCTCTGCCACGGTGACAGACAGCGATACTGCCCCCACCTCCAGTGAGTACCCCTGCTGCAGGCATCCCCTCTCCTCCCCCCAGGTCCCTCCTTTGGTAGTGTCCTCTTTTTGGGAACCTGAAATATGGTAACCCTAAGTTTAGGCTTTAGCCCACCATTTTGTTAAATGGGCATTTCAGAACAAACTATGTAAGGTTCAAGAATATTGTTTGTACTTAGACAAGATGGAATTGAGTTTCAGTTCTAACTATTCCCTTGCTTACTTGAATATAACTGTAGGCCTGACTTGACATAGGTAACGTGCATCATTTCTTAATGGGCATGATTAGGAAAGTGAATGGAAAGTTAGACTGTAAATAGGGGCTGAACAAGCAGTACGTTGAAGTTGTGATGTCTATGCTAGTTAAGATAAGCCGGGACACCCCAATGCTAGGGACAATGGACAAGATAAATATGGAATCTAAAGATCAGGTTCTATATGAGCAGCACATGGGAAGAGCAGGCTGTACAGGGATAGATTCCTGAAAAGTAATCAAGCCAATTCAAAAACATGTGATGCAATGTCATAAACATATATTTAAATGTATGTAAAGGAAGAGGTTTTCTGTGTAACTTTGGATATGTGGTATGCCCTATACCCAGCCCCTACGCTTGAGTCTGATCTACTCAGCGTAGCTTTCCTGTATGCCAAATAAAGGAACCTGAGTGATTAAATGTGGAGTTGAACTGAGTTTCTGGATCCCGGAGAACCAGATGAAGTGTTCTCCCAGAACCGGAGAAGGTGTTCTGGATAAGCTGAATGGAAAAGGTCTTGGAGGGAATCCCAACAATAAACAAACTTATTTTAATTTTTTTAAAAACACTAAAGTAAAATTAAAACTCACTAATCTTGTATTAGGACCTCCAAGACTGAAGTCCCTCACATCGTTAGATAACAATTAACATATTTCAGTGCAATGAAACTAAGTTTTTATCATAGGTTTTCAGAGTGGGATTTCACAATTGCTCAGCATTGACTTAACACTGCTCCCACTGATGTCAATGGGATTTTAGGGTACATCTACACCTCAAATTAAGTTGTAATTGTAGCACAGTTAGGAATACCCACACTAGCTGTAATCAGGCTAGTGCAGAACAGTGGAAATATGGTGGCTTCAGTGTTGGCTATGTCCCATAAGAAGCCAACTGGGGACTCTGAATATGTTCTCAGGTTGCTTCCACCATTTTCCTTGGAAAACGCCCTTACATTCTTAATATGTCTTATTGTTGAGAAATGTTCATGACACTCAACGAGACCTTTCCCTCCCTTCATTTTATCTTGTTTCTTTGGGTTATACCCTACTCTAAGTAATTATTGCCCATTCTGGGTGTTTGCAGTTCCCTAATATTTCTAGACAAATTCTGTACCTCACTCCACAATTTACTTGCAGTTCAAGAAGCCACCTACACTTAGTTTCATTTTGAATTACATATCAATGCTGTCCGAGCTACAATACTATTTATATATCTTTAAAACTGCCACGTCAATTCAAAATTCATTTAAAATAAAGCACATTACGTTTCAGCCTGGATATGACAAATTAAAACCCTGAGATACGAGTTTCATAGTCGAAACTTTTTACAAAACGTACGCATAGCAAAGTTAACCGGCATCATTAACAAAATGCTTATGGTATTGTCAACATTAAAATTCTATCAAAGAATTAATTATATGAATATACCATATTTGTATATTAAAATGAGATCTCAGTTCAGGGTTTCTGAACTAGATAAGAACTGAAGCTGATTGAACACCACTGAATACCTGCCTCTCTATGGCAGTTACCTTCACTATCAACAAATCCACATATGCCAAAATAGACTTTGGAAACATGCATTAAACAATTTAACAGATTAACCCTTGAAAAAATGGAATCAGGTTTGTTGAATTTGGCAAAAAATAGAAGACATTAAATTCTACTTTGTGTGGAGTAATCTTTAATATATTTCATCATTACATAAGAAATACATATTCACAATTCCCCACTTTCATAAAATGCCCACTAAAAAAATCCCTTGAAAACAGATCAGAACAGCCCTTAGGGTGTGATTATTATACAAAAAATTAGACTGAAAACTCTCTTTCAAATTAGACAAACATATTGACATGCTATTTCCTAAATACGGTATGTTAACTAACCTAGAACAAAATAATTTTTATACATTTACAAGCACTATTAATACAGTGCTTCTAATTAAAGGGGTAAAAAGCATGTATCTGAGAAATCAGTGAATTACAAAATTAAATTTTAAATTTAAGGTATGAATAATTTATCATATGGTATTTCATAAGAGCACTCATTTGTATAATAGCTATATTAGTAAGGATTAACATATAAATATATATTTACATAACATATTAATCATGCCAGAATATCTTGTAATCAAGCCCATTACAAAATGCCTCAATTAATGCTTGTTAGAAAGTCAAATGTTTATAAGGGGTAACGGTACAGCTTACTATAGTTAGTTTGCCATCTTTAGTGCACAAAATGCACAAATTGTTGAAGCAAAACCATACAGAAGCCAACTACGTAACTGCAGACACTTTTTATTTAGTTATTTTATCCTAGGCATAATTACACATTTGTGTAAATGTTAATCTCTCTGTCACAAAATGGAGAAAGTCACTGAAAGGCTTTTCAAGTAGTGAAACTATATCACATGGCTGGCTGATTTTAGCTCATATTTAGAATGTTCATTAAAGGTTTGGTTTGGTTTGTTTTTTAATCCACCCACTGCCATAAAGCCCTGTCATATTAAGATTGATGATTGCATGGACATTTTCACAAGCCAATAAAATTAGCCCCTGAATCAGTCACTGGTTCTGTAAATCCAAAATAACGCAAGTCTTTTTTCCCTGAACCCCTTCATTCTGTGACGTACCATCAACATCATCTGCAGCTTCGCTCTCTTCTTCTTCTAGTATTTCAAAAGGAGTCATTACATCATAGAGAAATGAGAGGAAGCCATAAAACCAATCAGAACTTTCCTCTGCTAAAATATTAAGGACTTCCTCAAGGGAATCAATATTTTCATTACTGCCATCTTTGGTCAAGCCTACACAAGAATAGAGGAAAGAGAGAAAGAGAAAAAAAGGAGAGCAGTTAGGTGGAAAAAGGAAACTGAAGAAGGAGGATCTATGAAAGACATCTCATGTCATAGACAGCAGTCTTTACAGGAATGCTAATTAGAAATAGAAGAGAGGTTACAAAAAGTGTCACCTTGCAAAGAAGTAGAGATTCATATTTGGACAATACATACACCATGTCATTGTTTCAGGCAACAAGGCAAATCTGGTTCCTCTTTCACACCTTCCTCCCTGTAAACAAACTGAATAATGATCATATTCATCTTGTCTCTTGTGGCACTTAATATTAAAAAGGCAGGAGCTGTCTTAGGTAACTTCTTTTTTTTTGTTTTTTCCCCCTGACTTTCCTAACTGTTGTTCTTAGAGATGTGTTGCTCATTTCCATTCCATGTTAGCTGTGCACATGGGTGCACAAACACCTGCTGGAGATTTTTCCCCTCGTGGTATCGATAGGGCAGGGGCATCAATGGCCCCGTGCCCTCTCAGTTCCTTCTTGCGGCAACTCTGACAGAGGGGCAGGAGGGGTGGAGGGGTCATGGAATGGACATGCGCAACACATCTCAAAAAACAACAGATACGAAAGGTAGGTAACCATTTTTTTTTTCTTTGAGTGCTTGCTCATGTTGATTCCATGTTCGGTGACTCAGAAGCAGTATCCCTGGAGGTGGGCTCAGAGTTCACAGGCATGCTGATTGCTTTGGGAGAACAGTGTTACATGCGTCGTCCCAGGCCTGCTGGGTGATAGTGTAGTGGGATGCAAAGGTATGAATAGATGACCATGTCACGGCTCTGCAGATGTCTGGGATCAGAACTTGTGCGAGGAAGACCACTGACGAATCTTGAACTCTCACTGAATAGGCCGTCAAGATGGCTGGCAGCGGAACCTTTGCATGCTCATAGCAAAACCTGATGCAAGAGGTTATCCAGGACGAGATTCTCTGGGATGACATGGGCAGACCGTTCATCCTGTCTGCCACAAAGAGCTGTGTTGACTTGCAAAAGAGTCTAGTCCTTTCAATGTAGAAGGCCAGGGCACGCCTAATGCATGCAGACCATATTCCTCATCCAAACCGTGGGGCTTCGGGAATAAGACAGGCAGAAAAAAACCTGGCTGTAGTGGAACTGTGATGCCACCTTTAGCAAGAAGGCCAAATGGGGATGCAGCTGGACCTTTTATTTGAAGAACACTGTGTAAGGGGGTTTGAAGTCAGGGCTCTGATTTCGGAGACCCTTCTAACCGACATGATTGCCACTAGGAAGGCAATGTTCCAGGAGAGCAGCAGCGAACAAGAAGCCATTGGCTCAAAATGGAGCTGCGTAAGCCTGGACAGAACCAGATTTAGGTCCCACAGGGACCAGGACATGGACCTGTGGGTATAGTTTCTCTAAGCCCTTGAGGAACCAGACTGTCATCACACAGAGAATACTGACCTGCCCTGGACTGGAGGATGGAAGGTCAAAATGGTCACCAAATGGATCCTGACCAAGGATAGAGCCAGACCATGGTGCTTCAGGTGGAGCAGGTAGTCCAAGATGGTCTATAGAAATGACTATGTCGGGGCAAGACTCTGATCAGCTGCCCAATAGGTGAAGTGCTTCCACTTGGCCAAGTAGGTCTTTCTGGTGGAGGGTTTTCTGCTACCTAGTAAAACCTCTTGGACCTGCTCCAATCAGGCTCGTTCCTCCCAGTTCAGCCACACAGCAGTCAGGCCGCCAGGTGCAGGGATGTGAGGTTCAGATGGAGTAAACAGCCTTGGTTCTGGGAGATCAAGTCCTGGTGCATCATGAGCTCTAATCCAGCTGCTACCAAAAGTTCTAGAAGTATGCTATACCAATGCTGGGGGCGATTAGGATTATCTTTCCTTTGTCTCTCAATCTTTAAAGAGGCCCTTGTGAACCAACGGTATCGATGGAAAGGCGTACAGCAGACTCCCCCCCCCTCCCTCCCCCAGATGATGGGAGCAGAAAGGCATTGGACAGGGAGCACTTGCTGAGCCCTCACATTGAGCAGAACTGCTACCATTTCCTGTTCTGCCTGATGGCGAACAGGTCCATTTGGAAATTCCACCACTTCTGGAAGATGGCGCTGACTACCTCAGGGTGGAGAGACCATTCGTGGTGAGAGGAAAAGGACCTGCTAAGGCAATCCACCAGTGTATTCCAGTCCCCTGAAAGGTGCACTGTCTTGAGGTGAAGATGTTGGACGAAGAAGTCCGACAACCGTAACGCCTCCTGACACAGGGCTGAGGAACGAGCCCCTCCTTGTTTATTAGAGAACATCAAGGCTATATTGTCCGTCAGTATCTGCACCACCTTGCCCAAGAGGTAAGGAAGAAACACCTGGCAAGCCAAGCAAATCTCCCTCAGTTCCCTGATATTCATGGTGAGGGAGAGTTCCTCCTGTGACCAGAGATTTTGGGTACTGCAATTGCCAAGGTGGGCTCCCCACTCCAGGTCTGATGCATCTGATACCAATGTCACTGACGGGCACAGAGTGGCAAAGGGACTCCCGGTCATTACTGATCACGGATCTGCCCACCAAGTCAATGATGTGAGAACGGCAGACGAGATTGTGAGGAATAATTCCAGGTGGTGTTTGCTGGAGGAGTTGAGGTCTGAAGAGCAGCCACGCATACTGTGCATGCTGCCATGTGCCCCAGCAATCTCAAAACATACCCGAGGGGTCCTGAGCGGGTGAGATCTGACATGGGGGAACTGGACTTCTGGCAGGTAGGCTCTGGCCTGACTGGAGTCGAGCATTGCTCCTATTTAAAAAAAAAAAAAATCTATCCTCTGTACTGGGATCAGAGTGGATATCTGCTTCTTTATCAACAGACCCAGCCCTAGACAAGTGACCTGTGTTGAACCTGAACTTGCAAATGGCCCTTGGTTAACCAGTTGTCAAGGCATGGATAGATCTGTATGCCTCGATGTCTCAAGTGAACCGCAACTACCGCCATACACTTTGTAAAAATCCTTGGGCAATGAAAGTCCAAAGATGGTGCGGTGAATTGGTAGTGGCGCTGGCCCACCATGAATCGAAGGACCCTTCTGTGTCCACAGAAGATGGAGATCTGGAAATAAGCGTCTTTTGGAGTGAGGGCAGAGTACCAATCTCCCGGATCCAGGGAGGAAATGATGGAGGACAGGGAGACCATGCAGAACTTCTCGACATGTTTGCTGAGGAGATGCAGGTCACTTTAGGATGGGCCTGAGGTCTCCCAATATTTCCTAATCCCAAAGGCGACCTCAGGCCCATCCTAAAGTGACCTGCATCTCCTCAGCAAACATGTCAATAAGTTCTGCATTGAGGAACTACCTCTATGGCCCTCACATGTCCAGGAGATGGCCTCTCCTGCACGAGGAGATGCTCGTGAGAAGGGTGTCTGAAGAGGGACAGGACTGGGAGATGACAGGGAGGGATGGATACATTCTGCAGTTTTCATCCAAGCGTCAAGGTGGAGAGCACCCAGTGGTCCAAAGTTATTTGGGACCATGAAATATGGAATGGAAATAAATGGTCAAAAACAAAAGGGCGGAGGGTTGGATCCTGGGCTAAGTCCAGTACACCGCCCTCAGGCATGCCTTCAAAAAGACCTATTTAGGGCCAGCTGGATAGGCCGAGGTGGAAGGTGCAGGCTGTCTTCATTTATAGCCCTTTCCTTTCTTCTTGAAGGGCTTGTGCCTAAGAGGTCCTGAGAACTTGTGAGGTGGTTGCGGCCGGAAGCCTTTTCTGGAGGCCAGGGGCACGTATAGGCCCAAAGATCGCAGCGAGGCCCTTGAGTCTTTCAGCCCATACAGATTGGCATCTGGCAGCTCGGAGAACAGGGCATTGCCCTTGATGGGGAGGTCTTAGACCGACTGCTGCACTTCTGGAGAAAAGAGAGCACTGCAGCCATGAGCTGTGCCGCATGGACACTGCCAAGGCCATTGACCTGGCCACCGAGTCAGCCTCATGCAAGGCAACTATGATGGCCAGGAATTCTTGCCTCGAATCCTGATGCAAGGAATCTTTAAATTTCATCACGGAGTCCCAGATATTATATCTATATCTCCCCAGCAATGCCTGCAGGTTGGAGATCCCAAGTTGGAGGCTGGCGGTCAAATAAGTTTTTCTTCCAAACAAGTCCAGCCTCCTTGTGTCCATATTTTTAGGTGTGGTGCTTGCCTGACCCTGTCTCTCCCGCTTATTTACAGCGGACACCAGCAGGGATCTGGGCGGTGGGTGAAAGTACATGTATTCATAACCCTAGGTCAGGACAGGATACTTTTTCTCTGCCCTTTTCGATGTTGGGAGCAGAGATGATGGGGTCTGCCCGAGTGCTTTGACTAGTTTCAGCACTCCTTCATGGACTGGTAGCGCAACCTTAGATGGGGCGCTGCAGCCAGAATACCCAAGAGGCTGTCTGTGGGCTCCTTCAGCTCCACTTCTAGCTCCAAATTCGAGATGACCTGTTTAAGGAGCTCTTGGTGAGCCTGAAAGTCGTCCAATGGGAGCGGGTGGGCAGGATCAGCCTCCATCTCATCTGGGGATGACGAGGACAATGCTAATGCTATGGGAGGGGCTGGAACCTCCTCTGTAACTGGGGTAGCTGCCTCTGGAATCGGAGCCTCAGTACTGGCATTGGAGTCCGAGTCGGACAACTGCAACTGCACAGGCGGCGCTGGGGCTCGCTTCTCAGATGTGGATAACTGATGGGAGTGGGGTCCTGGCATCAGGCAGAACCCCCAGGGGTTCCAATATTGGCAGTGTGTTGGCTACTTCCCTGATGGCCAGGTGCCCATTGCAGGAACAGTCCTGAAACCCAGTGTATAGGCCAAATGGTGTCTCTGTGGCCAGGGGATGGATTCCCCTTCCAATTCCAAGGCGGACTCCTCCCTCAGAGACCATGGGCGGGTTTGTCAGTGCTTCCCCCTGCCAGCTATGATGGGGAGTGACACTGGAGGGAAGGAGACTGGCATCGTGACT